GCTGGGACTAAGCATGCCCTAAGCCCCCAGAGCTAGAAATAGTGATGGCTCTGCTCAGCCCCTGTGTTTGCTACAGCCAGCGAGGGGACCAGGCCAAGGAGGACTGGTCAGTCTGTAGCAGACGAAATCAGCTCTGGCCAGCAGGTCCATGGCTCTAGTGAGCGCCCCCTCTCCCCTTGTGCCAGAGGCTGCTGTCGTGGTTTGAGTTACTGATCCATATTGGGGTAGCACCTCAGAGCCCCAGCTGCAGACAGGACCATATGGGGCCAGGTGCTGAACAGACACAACGGCATCCTGGGAGTGCTTCCACTCGAAGTATAAGACAAGAGATGGGGGGGGGGGAAAGACGGAGGGAACAGGCATCATGTTGGTCAGCCTGATGGGCAGTGGTCTCAGCTCCACCGTGACCGGTTTTGCAGGCATCAAGGCAAAGGGGAGGGGAAAGGTGGGATGTGAAGGCTGATGAGAGCAGTGCGGGTGTCTGGGGGAGCTGCTCCTGAGCAGTGAGGGCAGCATGGCAGATGCACAGGAAGGGGGCAACCTGATCCAAGCGAGGGGCAAGGAGAATGAGCAGCCGCATATGACCAGGGCACGGCTGGTGGACGGCTGGCAGCCTGGCTGCATGGAGGAGAGGAAAGCCCCTTAGCCATGTTCTGCAGAAGGAACCTGAGATTTAACTTGGGTTTGAGGCACCAGAACAAGAGCCTGAGTGTCAGGCAGGTGCTGATGGTATCCCTGGGCGGGGAGCAGGGGTGTGGTGGGGCAGAGCAGGACCTGTCGCTCCCCCCACCTACTTAGAGGCAGGACCCTGCAAAGACTCATGGCTCCTTCCTTTACACCAGGAATAAGGGCTGCCTATTCTACCTGCCCCGGCCCCAGCCTGTAGGGCTGGTGGGTTCCTGGAGGCCCCGTGCAGCTGGGATCTTGTCTCCGTGCTGCTCCGCAGCCACTGCCTGGGGAAGGCTCCCGAGGGCTGCGCTGTGCGGACAAACATGCCGTGCCGGTTGCCAGCAGTTAATTAGCTCCAGCTGGTGAGGAAGGGGAGGCTGCGATCTCGGGGAACGGCATCCCTCGGGCACTGCAGCATGTTTATTGAAAGCCCGGCTTCCCCACAGCCCTGGGGACTGCTCCTTTCAGGCTCCCACAAGTTAAAAGGGCAGTGGCGAGGCCTCAGGAGGGTGTGGATGCCATTCCTGCCAGCAGCACTTCGCTGCCAAGGTGTGAGGGGAGGCAGGCCCAGGGCAGGTGAACACAGCATGGTTACGTGTGTCAGCCCAGAGAGCTGCCTTCCCGGCCAGGCGAGGCAGGAATGGCCAGTCACCTCTGGCCAGGAGAGCTGTTTCCAGGGGCTGCTGCAGATCCCTCACACTGGGCAATGTAAGCAGGCCAAAGCCCTCTGGGTGGGTGGGGGCAGGAGGCTGTTCCAGCCCTCTCTGGTGAGCATCACCGGATAAGTGGGACACTTACTGGTTAACCATTTGTACCCCTAGCTTGGACCAGTTCTCTGATAGCCTGCCAGGCATGGAGTGAGGCGTATCTTGTGCCCACCCACCCCCCAGTGCTGCCAGTAACCGGGACTCCTGGGTTCTCTTCATAGTTACAGCAGAGTCCTGCTCCTCCCCTGCACCCAATAAGGGAGGGTGTGGTTTCCTCAGTGGCTGCATTAGGGTACTGGAGAGTGGAGTTCCTCTCAGTGGCTCCAAATGGGCCAGCCCAGGGGCTGAACTGGGCTATCTGAGCAGGCTTCCTTTCCCTGGCAGAGGGGATGGTGCGAGATGTGTGAGCCCACAAAAGGGGCTGTGGATGGTGGTACCTGACTGCAACCAGTCAAGGGCTTTTCCCAGCACCCAGCTGGCCTTCAAAAAGGATTGCAGGGGGAGTCTCAGGTGTTGGTGCCCTCCAGCAGGTACCCTGTGCAAGGGGCAGCTGGGCCCTGCACCCCCAGCCTGGGGGGGAGGAAGGATGGTACTGGGGACATGGGGCTGATACAAGGGCTGGGAGTGGGTATGGAGCCAGTGGGGTTCCATCAGAGGTATTGGTGGCTGTGGGGGTGGGGTGGAGGTACTAGGGGGCAGCAATACAGGTGGTACAGGGCATGGGAGGGGTGGTATTAGGGTAGTAGAGGTGATACAGGGCAGAGGGGGCATTGGGGTGACAGGGATGTTGGGACAGTGGGGAGGCTGGGAAAGGATTTGAGATGCTGGAAGGGGCATTGGGGGTATTGGAGGAGGTACAGGGTCTGGGAGGGAGTGCTGGGGACAGTGGGGGCTGGGTGAGGGTGGAAGGATGGTGGAAGAAGGTGCAGCTGCAGGAAAGGGGTAGTGGGGGCAGTGAGGTGGTA